CAAAAAAAACCCCCGCGACGGAGGAGAAAAAAAAAAAAAAAAAAAAAAAAAAAAAAGCATCCAGGACAATCCTCCCCACCAGCGAGCGCGACGCCGGGGCTCAGCTGACTCGCCGCAGCTCCTGCCAACGCTGCAGATCCGCACCCCCGACCTGCACCCATTCCCCGGTTTCTTTGTCACCCCCTACAGATTTGGAATTGCTGTTATTAAAACCCGAGCGGCCGGTAGGGACATGCCAAGCCGCCGAACGCCGCTGTCCTCCAGGAAGCCAAGTACAGAAACAGCGAAGTGATTCTTGGTTTAGTGGGTTCAGGCAGGGAAGCGCTGCGGAGCGAGGCACCCCGGGAAGAGACTTCCCGCTTCCCCGTTTACCAAACCGGGCAGAAAACAAAATAATTTAATCATCCAACCCCTGCATAGTTTAAAAGTACAACATATATACAGCTATAAATTAATTCTAAATAGATTATATTTTCTTTTCTTTGTTTTAAAGTTTTCTGTCATCACCAAATCGTCCAATTTCTCTCTCCAGCAGCGGCAGTGACCAGCGCAGTCGCGAAGGGTCTCCCGCTTCAAGACTTTTGCAGTTAGTTCGTGTTATTTTACACTCTACGCGCTTGTTCTCGGGGTTGTGGGATCCCAGGAGCGACGAGGCTGTCGCACGCGAGCGGCGTCGGAAGGGAAGGAGGAAGGCGGGCAGCTTGCTCTCCCGTCCTCATCGCTGCCCGAGACGTAGCTCGAACGGCGGAGAGAGGGCAGAGAGAAGAGAGAGGGCAGTTGTGCGTCGCTAATTCTCCGATTCCGGTTTTTTACATAAGGTTTGATTCTTTTAAATATCAAGTCTGTCACCTCGGCTCAGTGCACTTCACCAGAAGTCTTCAGGCATTTCAAGAGTCTGGGAACAAAAGCGGTAGCGGCGTCAGTCTCCGGATAATCGCACGTCACCGAACCTCCCCCTTCCTTCCCCCCGCTACGTTACAGGCGGCGGCTTTTCCAGCCGCACGGTTTCGGTCCGCAGCGGGCCCTCTGCCTAAGAGCAGCTCTCTTTTCAGACCACGGGTGCAGAGAGGGAATTAAAGAAAAGCAGCAGGTAATTAATGCCGGTCTATCGTGAAAGAGGAGGCGCAGTTATCGAAACAGGAGAGTGGGCGTATCAAGATAAGAATGGTTCCAAAAACAGGACAGACCCAAAAAAATGCCAAACACGACCCAGAGGATTTGCTTTAAGGGCCAAACTTTCAGATGTGCTCCCTCTGCCAAAGAAAATAAAAACCAAACAAAAACTCCCCAGCTAAACCTCCATACATGTGTCTACAAATCAAGCAGCCAGATGTCCGACGTCCCCCAGAAGTCTTTGCAAGCCTAAACGGTGCCCGTACAACGAACACTCGGTGTAAGCTTCACCTCCGATTCATTTTCTATAGAAACCCTGTTTCCAAATGATTTTGTGGTAGGAGGGACTTGTTTTACAGCCGTGCCGGCAGAATCCGGTAGGTGAAATCAGCCCAGATCATGAATCAGAAAAAAGGACTCCAAACTCTGTCCCAATCGGTTTTCACGGTTTTCGTGCAGTTGTCCCGTGACCCAGCACACCCGCGTGCTATCCAGGCTCACCTTAATTCAACCTCTCCAACCCCCGAGTCTTCCAGACTCCCCCTCAGCTGTTTTTACTTTGATTCCCAGTTTAATGCAGTGAGTTACTTCTACAACCCGCTGTGAACTCTGGCCATTTGCTTTGTTCTCCTCGAGTGTCATGGGAAGGCAACAGGGGGGGCAAGGAACATCTGTTTGGTAGGAGTCCGTTCCCTGTCACCACATTGCTTCAAGTGCCAGGGGATAAGAGCTTTTGCAGTAAAACAGACAATGAAGCGACCCGAAAAAAGGTTCACTAAAAACGCGGCGGCTGGCTGGCTGGCTGCCACGGCCGGTAAACGAACGTCGAATGCGCAGTTGACAAGACCTCAGCTGAGTTGCCAACACGCCCGGGGCTTTTGCTCTGTTCCTAGAGACCCAACACCGACAGTGCCAGAGAAAACAGGGAGTGGTGGAGAGAGCCGAGGGTGCCGGCATGCAAACTAAACAAAATCGATTTCCCAATTAACAAGCGTACGCTCGGCGAAGGGGGGCGCTTCCCCCTGTGACGTGTGCGCATCCAGGGGAGGCTCGTGAAGATCTGTGTCTCAAACAGAGATTTAAGTAAGTTTGAAAAGCACTATCGTGCCCTGCTCCGCTGCCAGGGGAAGCATCACCAGCTCGTACTTAGACCTCTGCCGAGCGGGCGGGCGGTGACTATCCGTGCAGAGAGGCTTGGACGTCTGACAGTCTGCTACAGCTGGGGGTGCCCATCTTCTGTGCTCGCTGGTAGAGGTCCGAGTCTCCGAAGTAGCGTGCCCGGTACAACAAGCCTTCCTCTGCAAAGGGAAAATCCCGGCGTTACAGACGCGATGTGGAAGGAGACCCACCCGCCAGGCCGCGTCCCACCAGGGGCTCTGCTGGGAAGAGGAGGCACCTCAAGCTCTTCAAGGCTAGCTGAAGCACAGGATGAGGCTGAGGAAGTGCCCCGTGCCCTTTGGGACAGGATGGGCGTAACATCTGCTGACAGCGCATCCATCCCAGGGAAAGCCTTAGGAACCTGACAGGACCTGCCTCTACTCCCAGGAGGCACATGAGGCAGCCTACACGGAGGTTAACCCAGCAGGATGGGGAAGAAGAAACGCAGAGGCTCAGAGCTCGGTGCATCGGCCTCATCTGGCCCCCACTGGGGGCTCTAGCAGCCCCTCCTGCACCCCAGGCGCTCAAATCCTACCCCGGCCACTGCCCCAAGAGCTGTGACCATCGCCTGCCGGGGCCGGGCGGGCAGAGAAGTCAGCTCACCCCTGGGACTTGGCAAAGGCTTTGCTGCCCTCGCCACGCTCTGCTGCCTGGCTAGATGGCCAGATCACCTCCCACAATGCCTGGCTGGGTAGCCCCCCTCCTAACCCTGCGAGCCTTCGACAGCGCCCAAGGTGACATCGGCACTGCCACCGCAGCCTTCTGAGCAGGGATGGGGATGCGGGATGGAGGACGCCCCGGGCAGCAGACTTTCAGACACGGTCCCCAAACAACTAAAATATTACACGGAACTATCGGGGGCCTCCTGAAAATGAGACGGCTGCGACCTTCCCCCTTCCACTGGAAATCACAGATATCCTACTGACGTGGCAGGGAACCTCCGGGGCACAACTCCTGTCTGACCAGTTCTACAGCAGCATTAAAAAACAAACAAAAAAAACCCAAAACAAACCCCCCCCTCCGCACACTGGATTTGTCACGAAGTCATAGATAGAAAAAAAAAAAAAAAAAGCAGCCAACAACACAGGCAATGTGCTCGCACCATGTTAAAGTATAACTTTAGCATAACTCAGTCCCACGTAAAGGACCTTTCCGAAGCCGACCTCATGCCGCCGCCAAGACCCTCCGCTCCTGACCCCGCACTACTCACTCTGCTGCTTCTCTTTCCAGCAGTTATTTCGAAGGTTTGCAATATAGTCGTCCTCCACGCTCCTTTCAACGTTTTTCAGGTTCGTGCCCGTGTATTCATCTGCGAAATTCTCGGATACGTAGTAGATGACTTTCAAGTGCTCTGTCACTCTCCTGTGTACGTGACCCACAGACCTAGTTGAGGGAGAAGAGTCAGAGAACGGTGTAGGACACGCTTCAAGGGCAGGGCAAAAAGCTCCCAGCTCTTTATAATGCACAACACGCGAACCGCTGAAAGCATACATCGCTCCTGTGCACCCGCAGACTTGAAGGTTTGGAAAGGGGAAGCATTTCTGGTGGAAATGAAACGCCAACAGAGGGAGAGAAAGCCCGCCGGGCCTCTAGCTAGGTGGGCAGAGCTCTGAATACAGACCTAACTCTGAGGCAGATTGCCCAAGGCCTAAACCCACTTAAAATAAAGTGTTCATTAGAATTTTCAGCGCTAATTAAATCTCTCTGCAATTTCCTTGCTGACGACACCATCATCTGGTTTTGGCGGCGAGCCCCAGGGATGGCTGCACAGCTCGGAGGCCGGTGCTGGCGCGGCGAGGGGAGGGCAGAGCAGGGGCTGGCTGTCACAGGTCCCCAGCCAGAGCCCCCCCGCCCTGCTCAGCGAGGCTGCCCGTCGGTCGAACCCAGTCCCCCCTGCTAGGATATCTGCTAACCCCAAGAGCGTCAGCTTCCTCTACCACATCACATGCCGCAACGAACACGGTTGCTGCAAGAACAAAATTAGACCCGCTCTGCGCTCGAGCCTGCACCGACGAGG